ATCGGACCGATACGTAATATCGGATCGGTCCATCTCTAGTCCATACACCTGAAAGTCCCGAAATTCTGTCTTGAGTCTACGGATGTATCCGTGTATTTCCGTGGTGCTGATGCTGCGCTGAGCGGACAGCAGACAGCTAGCAATGTCCCTCTCACCGGTAGGCTAAGTTATTTACAAGCTGAATGTGGTTGTTGGGGTTAGCTAAGATACTGTCATTAAGAAGCGGCACAACTAATGTGTCTATGCGAGCTAATGTGCGATGTGCACCGCTGGCCCGGCCATTTATTTTTAATGCACCTTCTCTGATTAATTCACTGCCTGTTGTGCCATTAGTTAACCCTTCACAGCTGGCACGCGTGCCCAGGGTTGCCGACCCCTGCTGTATACTATGCCACTTCGTTATGGCATTCCATGTATGCCCTGCCTGCTAGCATCATAACGTTGCTGTTATGTGTTGGACTGTCTCAGGGGCATCTTTACACATCCTGCCCCTAGAATATTGCTTGGTGTGACAGACCCCAGCCTCTATGCATCTTGTGTTCTGTGCTGTCTTTCAGTAGGATTTCTTGATGTCAGCCACTTCCTCTATCTGCCATAGGTACATAATGTGCAGGGGCCTGTCCTTTCATGATGGTTCCTCCTCCTTCTTGGGTTTCTGCTGCCTGAGGTATTCACTGAGCACACGGTCGGTCATGGGAACTTACATTCATTAGTCCCAAGCCTCCTTTCTTCTGCTTAGCATACAGCCTCACTGTGCTAGACTTAGAATGAAATGCTCCATGCATGGTCAGGAGCTTCCTGGTCTTGATGTCAGTGTCTCCTCCTTTGGCCAGCTTATTATCCCAGCAGGGTACCTGATCACGGGTAGGACGTAGTCATTATGTGTTGCATCCTTCTCCCATATGCTCTTCCAGTATTGCTCAGTCTCCACCCTTTGTGGAGCTGTTGTCATATTGTTGCCCTGCCACTGGGAATATACCTTGGATGGTTCTGTGGAGAACAGCTAGTTTATTCTTCAATCTCTCTGGTATACCTCGTTAAGCGGCTGGCCAAACCTGTGAGTCTTTGTTTGGTAGTTTCCAAGACCTCAGGTATGGACAGCAAGCTCAGATGGCTACATTCTGAGCCGATCACATATCAGTCTGATACCAATATCAGCAAACTGGTATCTACACTAGGGATATTTGGATTGCTTTGCCTATTTCTACTAAACCAGTAACATAAAAACTGAAAACATTTTCCAGCAGTGCTGGTGTGGTATAGCATTTGGTTTCTTGTTATATATACCATCACAGCAATCACACTTAATCCATTTTCTTTTCTACTGTATTACAAAAAATTAATGCAACTGAAAAAGAGTCATCTGCACCTCTTCAAGTATTTGTCAGACTCAATAGCTTGGTCTCAGTAATGATAGAAATGCTATATAATATTTATTCATCACATTTTTTTCTTTTCTTGTTTATTTTAAAGCTTCATTGTAACTGCTACTAACTATACTAGTACAAAAAAGTATACTTCAAAATGTTGACATTTTTTGGGAAGTGAAAATCCTTCACAGTAGCAACCCAAAAACTGACCACATATAACAAACATACTTAACAAAAATCTATGTAATCTCAAATAATTTCTTTGATATTTTAACAGTTTTGATTTTATAGTGAAAAAATAATAATAATTTTAAATTAGGAACTTTTGCTAGGTTTACAGCTGCCATCCACACAAGTCTGGGTTTCTAAAACTTAGTTTTCTTGGGAAAACTTCTTACCTGTTTTTTTCCCCCGGTCTGAACAAGCATAAAGAAACTTTTGGAAACAGTGACACAGACACACGTATGTGCTTCCTGATTGGATCTTATCAATCATGTTTCCTCAACTGACTTGTCACATCAGTATCTTGTGACTCTTTTCCAAAGGAAACAAAAACAAAGTGCTTAAATCAGCACACAAAGAATTACAAGCATTGCTTGCAGGCTTTGTTGTCCATGTCTATTTTATACATGCAGATAGCGTGACCAGTCAATTAACCGTAATGGTCACCTATTAATTTTCAAGTATGGACATAGATCATTCCTCAAATGCTGCCAAAATGCTTGTCTACAAGGAAATTTTCAACTGCCATTTTAAAATGAAAGTTTTTAATATCTCTCTCTCTCTC